AAAACAAATTAAAAAACATGAGAATTGTAAGTTTGTATAGATGTAGAAAAGAACTTTACCTTGTCTAGATAAACTTGTCCAGCTGGGGGGCGGGGGAATCAAGTGAGTTAATATAGGTGATGATATTCACAAGAATAAATTCACAAAGCTAGAGTCAGAAGTTACATCTCCTAAATCCCATCCCGGTAGTCATGAAGCATCAGCTTTGTAGTTAGTAGTTCAAAGCTTAAACCCCCATGTAATCGCGGCTACTCGATAATACTCTACACCTATTTTTTTCCCCACCCCCCCTACTCTACACCTATTTAGTAGAAAAAAAAGTCATAAGAAAAGTTAGACTGCTTATAACCCGGTAGGATTGCTATAATCGAGTTCAAATGTTATTTTCTTCTAAAATTAAATTGGCTTTTCCGAAAGAATATTTTCTCTCTCTCTTTTTTTTTTTAACTGGATAGGGTTCTTTTTAGTCCTCTTCCTTATTTCTTTCAACACTCTGGAAAATCACTGAACATTTCATTTCAGGCTTTTTAGCACTCATTCCTTGCTATTCTTCATTGGCATGCAATCAAAATTTTTTGAATATGAACATGGGCTCACATCTCAGCATTTATATAGCCTTCAAATGTAGAGGAAACTATTATCTAATGAGAGAAAACCACACAGAGTATAGGAGGCAAAGCTTGTGATTCCCTTTGCTTTTGTTCAAAGTAAAATCTGGTCCTCAAGTAGGATAATATGTGATATCAAATGTGTGCTTTGCATGATAGAAAATACAGTTTAAAATGAGTTGGAGAACACAAAAGTCAGAACAGCATGAAATATTTTGACACTCAGAGGCAAATTAAAAATATTGAGGGGGGTTTTGGAATTAACTTTATAAGACACACTATGATTCAATGGTTGAAATTTGAGAAAAGTGAGACAGGAAAGAATAAAGGAACAAATATTATGTATTATGTAATGGAGAAAATTTCTGACAAATATTATAAAGGAGAATAGAAATAGACAGGGAGTTAGGAAGGGGGAACAGAGAGAAGAAATCAGCCATGATGAAGGGGCTTGTGATTTAAAAATATCTCTCCTACCTACCTGTTCAGCCACAAAATGTGAAATGTTTAAGAGGAAAGGTTCAGAGAACATAATACTGAAATGGCAAAGCTATATATAAGGTTCTTTCTAATGGCAAATAAACTAATTAGCTGCATAGGAGAATGACCCAATGATATG